GGCATAAGAGGCAAGAAAGATATAGTAGCCATTGACGTACGCAGTACCCAAGAATTTTTGCCTATTCTCCTTTCCAACAGTCAGTGAAACTGGTTTCAAGACCCAATCACCAAAGTTTAGTTAATCGTTGTCCCATCGCCGGCATAAGCGGGGGAGCGTAGGGGGGATAATTTCCTGTGCAACTTCGGTACGGGTCGTGTGCAGCTATGGAGTCCAACGTTTCCAAAAGGCCGCTATATAACTGCTCTCAGTATTTGCTTTATAATTCTCCTTCAGCATATTGATCAAACTACAACGAAAGAAAAAAGCGCAAAAAAAAAATGGAAATATTTTTTCTTTCTTTTATTTTTCCCCAAACATTTTTACAAGGCAACGCAAGTCGTCGATGAACCTCTGAATTGATTATTGATTGCAAAACTATCTGTATAGAAGGTTGTTGTTGCGGTGCTGGTGGTGGTAGTGATTATCGTCTGGTGTTGGTAACCGTGATGTTACTGCAGCATCGAACCGCAGTACAATAGTTTCGGACTTTATTTGCCCGCATTTCACAACATCCCCATTCGCTTAACTATTTGCTATGGTACTTTGAAATTGCGGACAGGCTAAATGACTCAGTCTCAGACGGACGGACGGAGAAGCGAATGAAGCAACAGACTGAGGGACGGACAGGAACATTTCATATTAATTTAGCAAGCTAAAGTAGAGAAGTAGAAACTGACGTTGAAATAAGCGCTGGCCGAGTACTTCGACGAGAGTCAATGCTCAGTTTTTAATTCAAATAATTTTCTCTACTAAAACTTTCTCTTTTTATTTCCTTGATTTTTTTTTCGTAGTATTGAAATGTTGCTATAACTTTTAAAAAGTACAGTAAACAATATAACTTCTGTGCAGTCTTTCGTAAGTGTAGCGCTATCAGTAATTTTGTTATTTTTAATTCAAATGCCATCTCCAGCTTAAAGTAACACAGCAGAAAGAAATGAAAAAACATGTACAAAAAAAAATAACTCATATAGAAACTTTAGATCAGTTAGAATATTTTTCTTCATCAGTCAATAGTACTTCCGGAGAAGTGGAAGACAAAAAAGTTATTTACTATTAATTTTGTCTTATTCTCCACCAAAAAATTATAAGGTATACTCTCTCGCTACAACTTTTATATTCTTTTTTTTTTTTTTCTTAAAGCTGTTATGTATAGAGCAAAAGCTTCACGAGTTGAACGTAGCAAATGGGAACTGTGATGAAAGGAACTACGTTTTTTTTTTTTTCAACCTCGTCTCCTCCTTTTAATTATTCTTTCCCCGCTCACTTCAATTGATTATCGCCAAACCGCCTTCGTGATACTAAAAACTGTTCAAAATATTATTGAAGCTTAACCTTTGTTTCGTTCTTTTTTTATGGCTCATTTTCTACCTTTTTTGCCTTCTTCCTGATGCTTCCTTACGTACTGCTTCTCCCACTTCATGACCATGCAACTCTCTCCTTTTCTTGCTTTTTACAGCAAAAAGAACTTTTGTGAATTGTTATCACACCAGTACATGGCAATAAACTATAAAAAAAATTGCAGCGTTTTCAAATCCTACTTAGCACGACCGCCATCGCAAACGAGGAGTTTTGAAACAGCAAACGGTGACGATAAGCCGATGGCAAGTGGCAACAGTTCACGTGTTGTTCCTGTACAGTTGTTGAGGAAAACCTCAATAGAAGATCTAAACGAACAAATGATCGGAATGTTAGACGAAGTTGAAAGGCGCGTGGAACAGCTAAGGTAGTGTGCGGTTTTGTTGTTGCTGCTTCTTATTTGCTTTATTTAAAACAGAAAAAAAAAATTCGATGACGAAATTTTAACGATGAAAACAACAGCGCAATCAACAGATATATACATATATAACCCCCTCTGCATATACCACCATCATACATCATACCAGGAAATTAACACATGAAACACAAAGTTGAAAACTTTTATAATGACTAACTCATATTCATAAATATCGTCTCGTCAAGATTTTTGCAAGACTGTTTTTTGAAAAAAACTTCCAAAACTTTTCATCTGTTACTTCATTTTTTTTTTCTTTCCTTACCGTTACAGCTCTTCTCTTCACTAAATTCAGCTCTCTCCTCATTTAAAGAAAAAAAGCAAACAAAAAACAATTGCCAGTCGTTAAAACTGTCTGTTGCTCGCAGGTGTTCATCCAAAACTTTCAATAAAACTTCACCTTTCCCACCTACCAACACCCCCTCTTCTCCCTCCTGTAGTTTGAGGAAAAAGCAACGAGATGATGCAGAAGGTGGTGATGGATTAGTGCTGCCTATAGTTTCGCCACACGACTCTGCACTTCACTTTCTCTCTCCTTCTTTTATTCCAATTCTTACATTAACGACAGTTAAAGTAGTACTGTTCTTAGTCGTTATTGTCGCTGCTGTTGCCATACCAGTAAGACAGATGTCAATGATCGGGCATGTGTCTCTCTCTGCCATGTTCCACGATTCTTCTTGCTCATTTGAAATCATTTTCCGCAAACCACTGGTTCCGACTAGTCGCAAAAACTATTCCTTACTTCTCTAGCTCAATATTTTTTTTTTGTGCCCATATTTCTTTAAAAAAAAATCAGCGCATGAACTACTTGATGCATTAACTACTTCCTTGCTTCCAAGACCACTTAAATTAATGTCCCAGCACCAGAAAACCCCTTAGCAAGAGAAGTATACGTGTACGCTAATTGACTGATGAGTTCTATCTGACCTGCAACAGTCACTCTCTAAATTTTAAGTTCCTCGTGTTTTTCTAAAGTTGCTTCAAGACGCCGTTGTAAAAAACAGAGGAAACCATTTGTAAGACACGCTCACTTTGATGCTCACTTATGTTGTGACGCCTTTTGCTATTCCTTTACTTTTCGTTTCTTGAAACAATTTTTCAAGCACCGTTTTTTTGCCTCCAGTAAATTCTGAACTATTCCGTTAGCCGAGCAAGCAATGCACAGAAAGTTACACCACGAAAATTTCCACAATTTTGCCCACCAAGAGGTCACATGAAAAACACTCGTCCAGTAAGACTTGCGCAACTAAACTGCTGAAGGCGAGAAATCAGATTTTATGTAAAAAAATTTTTTTCTTCACGTAGCGAGAAACACTAGCCGATTAAACCTTTGACAGTATACAACAGTTTGAAATTCAGCTTACTACTTTACGAGATATGGCTTTCCTCTTTTTTTTTTTTTTGATTTCGTAACTTATCCTTGTCTAAATGTCGATACTATCAACAACTTGATATTAAGACCAAATAATTTGATAATTTAAAAAATAACGGACCTTACATGAAGCCAAACACATCCCATCTGTGTCTTCGTAGTTTAGATTTCTCATTACGTATAAAATTCGCCAAGAATCACCTCCTTACCTCCTAGCAGTTCCTTTTTATCATAGTCGTCTCTTCTTCCGTGAAAATCGGTGGTATTTTGAAAGAGCAATGTGTGAAAAATAAAGAGGAACGAAGAGACCAGTCAAATCTTTTTGAAAAAATGCGAACAACGTTTGTGAAATGCACACGGACTTTGCTATTATGAATTGCTGACGGCTAAAAAATTTCTGGACCTTTCATTATCAACAGCGTCATATTCTAAAGTTTTGTAACTACCTAATCACTTCTCTCCTCCTACCACACTTTCTAAAGAGCGAACCACCCAACGAGCCCTACTTAGCACACTCTAGGTAAGCGAAATGAGCTATGAAATCAAATATTCCTAATATTACACAGGTCTCTTCTCAGCTTCGCTGCAAAACAATTGCAGTCGAGGTTCCCCATAAAAAATCCACTGCCACTCCTCCATAGTTGGGAAAATCAACAACGGTAACATTCAGCCTGCACTACGTGAACAATCAGAAGACATTGTAAACAATCAAAAGTTTCGTTTAACAACACTGGATCCGAACGTTGGTTTAATGAACTCTTTTACCTAAATTCCAGAACTCTTGCTTCGTAGGAACTAAGGCTAGTTTTGTTAAATGAATTGCTTTCCCAATCCGCAAAGGCATCACCACGGCGTAAGTCCCGGCCTGATCAGTGTGAATTTTGCGTACTTCTAGATCCCAATCTACTCCAATACAATTTCTAATCCAGAGCATGCTACCTCAAGCACACTACTGACAATTACATTTGGAAGAAAAACAAAAGACAAATATTCGTCATCCCCCAAGTGGAAGTGAGCAAAAAATGATGCCCAACTTGTTTTTACAAAGGACTAAACGATCGAGTGCTCCTAGATGAGAAACGGTAGGGCGAACTCCCTCCAACGCTGTATTAGCATTGAACCTTTAGATTTACAAGCTCTTGTGCGGCTGCCGTTTCCCCTTAAGGTCTTTGAAACAGATTTTTAAAACAAACAAGTTCCCCTCACAAGGTGTCCATACTAGCGCAGAACTATTACGATCCTTTTTGCCACCTCCCTGCAAAGACAACTTTGATATGTGACGTCCGAAGAGCGCGAGTCACGTAAACATCACTTCATCCTCCAAGTGCCACAGCATGATGGAACAATTGCCTTGAGAAGAATTTGACAGATCTACCAACGTTCATCCCTCGCATAGGAGCAAGTTTTCTACGAGGACATCACAGTATAAAAATGCGCTTTCAAGAGTCTGCAATAATCCTTAGAAAGTCTCCTTGAGAACAGGGCCACTCCAAACTGTAGTTTCGCTTTACACTACCCTTTGCTCAATAAAAACAAAAAGATTGTTCTAGATGTCTCTTCACTATCCTTCACTATCAGCTTAAACATGACACACTACTCGGGGCAAAAATAAAAGACAAAAATAAGTGTTAATGGTTGCCCGCTGTATCAGATACAGCTTTTTAAGGGGAAAAACGTGACTGTACCGATCTCTAAAAGCAACAAATGGCTAGGAATTTTTCTCACAGTTAATCTAAGGTCCTTGATTCAACAGTTACCTATTAAACGCAATTTTTAGAGAATCCGCAGGGCAACTTGAACAAGAAAAAGAATCACTGCTTGACATGTTAAGCAACGTTAATTTAAATGCCGAATTGCTACGTCTCGGCCAAGGTATGTTTCACTTCACTCGAATTTAAACAAATTCAACGTACAGAATTAAAAATAGAATGAGTTGAATATTTCAAGCACTGCAACTTCAGAATTCAAATATTCTACTTTCACTTTTATAGGCGATCGTGATGACATCAACGCGACCACGAATCGTTTACTGAACCGCTGCCGCGCTGTGGAAGTAGTAGTGAACACACCACGCAACGTTGAGCAAACGAAAGCTTTAAACAACGTGAACTCGCTTATCGAAACTGCAGTTAGCAAAATGAAAGAGGATCTCAATAACTCTAAAGAGGTATACTATATGAATATGTAACAAAATGAAGACACTGTAACAACGAACCTTAGACCTCTAGTGCAATCCCATGCGACGAAGACAAAAGTTAATGAAACTGAAAAAAAGTTTGGGAACTTTTCTTAAGAAAAAAAATCAGGAACGGGGAACTAGAGCAGTATTACTCTCCTTATCTTCACCAACTTGTCGCTTCGTACAAACACGTCTGGGTTAATGTTTTTTTAAAAACTGTGCATATCAGGTTTTGCAGACCGTACAACGGTATCTTAATGCATGCTCCCCAGACCAACCTGATGGCCCTATCGACCAACGTTTCCAAACGCAGGCAAGTTCCATACACTGACAGCAAAACATTATTTGCATATCGTCTTCGGGAGATGCCATTCTTAACAAACACTGATTACCAAAAAATGCCGCAAAAACGAAACATTAGGACTCAAGAGACCTGGGAAAAGAACCGCCGCGCTACTTTGGGTGATATCAGTTTATGAGACGTACTGTTTTCAGGTCATAGAATGCACGGCGGACGACCAAAAGAAAATAAGAAGAAGATTGGCACATTTAATCACAGTCATTGAACGTGCCCAACGGACCTGTGTACCCTCATTTTAAAAAACAACCACTGCAATTAGAGCCTGAAAGAAGCTATAAAACTACCAATTCGAAACGCTGTATACAGGACAACGCGAATGCCAACCTCGTACAAGACGGCACCAAAAAGATACCAAGTTTACTGAGCAAAACTACTGATCGTTCAGAAATTCAAAATTTAACCACTAAGCAACATGAGCACAATAACCTAACACACTTTTATATACTCCCACCAGACTCTTCTTATATGCTGGACCCATACGTGACTGTTTGTATCTGTGATTCGACGCCATTTTGTTGTTCATTGCTTGTCTGCTCGTTATTAATTTACTCATTTTACGAAATAAACGGTAAAAAGCTAAAACACCTACACTAAGCGCACACATGCTCAATCAAATAACCACTCCAGAACCTAAAAACCAATGAAGCTCCCCTCAACGAACGCGTACGAAAACAAACGAAGCAAGACGTCAAGATCTGTAGTGCTAGCCCTACCCATGTTTTACATACGGAATATTAGAAATATATAGACGTGTTTGATCACAGGAAACTCAAACCCCTCCTTGACCAGACTGCACCCAAATCTAACCACAAATCCCCAAACACTTCCAACCAATACCTTGACCTTATCAGAAGGGCATTAACCACCTACACGCGAGACCTTTGGAAGTCTCCATAGCACAATTATAATGAAAAAGCCACCCTTAAAACACTTTGCGAACATGCCATCCCACCACTGCTACATTTATGGGCTAATAAAACGTCCTTTTTTAACTCAGGTCCCTTACCACAACCAGTTGACCTCCACCACCTCTCTACAAAGATAAAAACGACAGCCTAGAAACATGACGTAGTCAGCCTAGACACGAATGCAATGCCCATCACTCTGAGATTTTTTTGCGCGACCAGCCATACCAACTGGTATATTAAAACTTCAAAACTCATTACAGAGCACCTCTCAGACATTACATGAATAGCACAAACAACAGCTAGCAGTAAAAAAAAAAAGAAAAACACAAACCAATCACCCCATCGATGCCAGATACCCAACCTATCAGTGTCAATAACAACTAACGAATCTTCAGACGTATTAAACTCAATGCGAAAAGGGCATACTGAAGAACAACGAAAGACACGGCTGAAAGACCGTACCAAGTAAACCTCCGATAACCAGGGAGAGAACACCCCCCTAAAAACCCCCAAGACCTAGACACCTCAGCTTCCCCTTACATTTCAGTTGTACATCTTCCCACCTAACAAACTTTTGTTTGGTTAGCACAAAGGACACCTTATTCACCGGACTGCAAAGCTGTGGTGCACTTTATGGACTTACCAACGTCGCTCCCAAAACTGTCTTATTTATGAATAAAACGCAGTTTCTTCCAATCCTCCAAAGTCATCCACAAATGAGTTAATCAGCCGCACAGCTAGAAGACAATATTTGACGAAAGCTGCACTTCCGACTAAATTTTTCACTGTCGTTGTAGTTTAATTCCGTGAAAACCTACGAAAAATCCCACAGATGGAAGAAACCCATTTGACTAAAGACTTGCTGTGACAAAAAAACGCATGCAACATGACATACAACACCAGAAAACTGCCTGAGAATGACCACCAATCTTGACGCACCATCCTTACTCCTAAATCTACCTGTTACAGGAAGCAACCAAGACACTTTCACAACTTTTTTTTTGGAAATTCATTTGAGTCCCCGACATGGCATCATTCACTAACCACAAGTGCCTCGACGACTGCATTCCCCATACCTAAACTCAGGCTAGAAACTCCCGAGCTTATCTTCTCTTACAACCTAAGACAGGCTAAAATCTCAACAAAGTCATCCTCACCACTCTAACCCCCACAAAGTAATACATTTTACACCTCCAAAACGAAGGTAATGAAAACCACTCGTTTTTTTTTTTTTGATACATCTGTTGTGTGAAATGTCTCAGCAAGGCCAGTGGCCTCGGCAACAGACCATACTAAAAACTGAACACATACCACCATCAGCTACCAAGTGGTACAAACACATGAACGCCTGTACCCTCTATAAAAAACAAGTCCTCTTCAACTTAAAGTAAAGACTGTACGCCTTTTGGCACATGATATAAGTTACAAGACTAAGCGATATGAGAGTATCTAAAGCGCAGTTGAATAACCGTCTGCTTAACGAGGCTTAACCGGAGATTCTCCACCGGCCAAATCGCACTGTGATGCAACTTGAAAATAAATGTATCACTGCACGATCCAGCGAATGGAAAACCTCAAAGAGAAAAGAAAAATAAAGCAAAATAAAACAAGAGAAAACTGCAGAGCGACGAAAAAACGGCCCAATAAACCTCGCCAACAGTCTGACTGTGATTCGACAAGTAACAACGGATCA